CAGCAGCAAATGACCTTGCAGGTGTCATTCTTAAGAGGAGAATGGGGATGTCTGTGTTAGAACGGGCTAGGATGCTGTGGTAAAGGAGATAGGGGATGAGGGAGAAGAGAAGGGGACAAAGGAAGGGAATAGGGGGACAAGATAGAGAGAAGACAGACATGGCACATAGGCAAATGGCAGTTTATAAAGGTAAAGGAGGAAGCACTCTGTTAGGATGAGATGTTTAATTTTAATTAGGCTTGTTAATTAGGTGAGCCAAAGGGGCCTTCTGATTGCTGGACTTTGGTAGTTGGCTTCAGGAGGAGGAAGTAGCCAAATAATGGAATAGACCTTGGCGGCTAGCTTTAAGAATGTAATCTAATGGTTTTTAGCAAGGCAGAGGGAATAGAGAAGAAGGGTAAGGCCTGCCAGAAGCGCCTGCTCAAGTGGGCCAGTGTCCCTTAAATCTCTAAAATTTCAGTCTCTTAACTATGGGCTCCTAAATGGGTCAAGATCAGGCTTGAGAAACCCACAGAAACAGCTGACCTGAACAAGGGAGAGCTCTTGGTCCCCAGACTGATAGCTGGGAAACCAGCATGGAACTGATCCAGACCCCATGAACGTGGGTGTCAGTGAGGAGGCCTCGGAAATCTATGGGGCCTCTTGTAGTAGATCAGTACTTATCCCTAGCGTAGGAATGGACTTTTGGAGCCCATTCCACATAAAGGGATACTCCCTCAGCCTAGACACACGGGGGAGGATATGACAGACTCTGAAGACCCCCCCCCATGGGAGGCCTCACCCTCCCTGGGGAGCAGAAATAGTATGGGATAGGTAGGGTGTTAGTAGGGGGCAAGGGAGGAGGGGAGGGAACTGGGATTGACATGTAAAACAGTCTTGTTTCTAATTTAAGAAAAAAATTGAGAAAAAAGGATATTTATGTAAGCCCCCCCCCCCAAAAAAAAATAAAAACTTAACTGTGGGCTACTCTAAAATAAAAAATAAGTTGCATACATGAAGGAAGAATCAAGGCACATTCACAATCAAACTAAAGCAAAACTAAATTCCACCAGTGTAAATCATTGAGTATCCACTGTCTGGGATTCACTCGTCATCTTTTGGCCTCCAAAGGACAGTTACACTCCTGGCCTTGCCATTCACAACACACGCATAGCTTGTCTTGTAGTCTCCAGCCTATTGTTCTACACAATGCTGCTTTGCTTGGCAATGCTACTGGAATCTTCAAAATGCCATAGTCTCCTGCTGCAACTAGGCCATATTTCCACCAGTAGCCACTCCTGGGCTCTCTTTAGGGACTTTCTCCCTGCCAGGTGGTGCCAAGCTTTAATTTCTATGACCCTCTCAATCCTGGGCCTTTTACTCTATCTGAGGCTGCACCTTCACCAGAGGCCTCTCCCATCCCATCTTCAGGATTCCAGCCATGCCACACAGTGCCAAGCCTCAGCTGCTCTCTATGACCTTTTGATCTGGCACCACCTGGGTGAGTCTTATACGGCCAAGTTCTGCTGCCAGCATGAGATGAAGTGGAGGGGAACCACAGTTTCTGTGTGCTGACCCTGAGGATATTCTCTCAGATTTCCCCTCAGTAATACTGCTCTCTTCTCATCACAGCTAATTCTTCAGCCTCAGCTTACTAAAGCTGTAGATCCTTAATTCAAAGTATCTCATAAATGACACCAGAAGTCTTTAAGGGGCTCTTGAACTTCCATTTGGAATTTCATGTCAGGCCTTCATTGTATGTGTTTCTTTCAACATTTTCATCTTCCAAGCTCCCAATTCCAGAGCAGCCCACTGAGTTTTGAGTACTCAATAGCTTTCAGTCCAAAGTTCACCTGCTACCACAGTTCTCCAAACACTCTTGGTCAGGTTTGTCACAACTGTATTCCCTGTTGGTGCCAATTTCTTTTTTAGTTGGGGAATCTATTTCTGTGGTAAAACACCATGGGGAAGTAAAGATGTATTTTTCCTTACTCTTTTGAGGTGACAGTCCATCAGTGATGGAAGTCGGGGCAGGAACTCAAGCAGTACAGGAACCTGAAGGCAGGAATTGAAGCAGAAACTATGAAAGAATCCTGTTTACCATCTTGCTCATAATGGCTTGCTCAGTCTACTTGCTTTATAGCACTCATGGCACCACTCACAATGGGCTAACTAAAAAATAAAAAAGAAAAATTCTTTCTCATGGCTAATCTGGTCTGTACATTTTTTTTTTTAAATTGACAATCCCTGTTCCAAAATGACACACTAGCTGCTTAAACACATGTATTCTTCAGGAAGGTACAGTGAAAATCTTATAAATCAATAAATGTTATAAATATGATGATTTGACTTTTATACTTTTCTGCTTTGTTCTGAACAGTCTTTCTTTCCTTCCATCCCCCTCTTCTTCCTTCTTCTCTCTTCTCTTACTCCCTTCTATCCTCTCCCTCTCTCTTTGCTTCCTTCCTTCCCCATGTCTCTTTCTCCCTCCACTGTCCTAGGGATTGAACTGAGGACCTTGTGTTTGCTAAATGTGCATTTACATATTACTACATATGTATTTTAAAGAATTCTTCCTAAGCCAGGAGTTGGTGGCACATTCCTTTAATCCCAGCACTTGGGAGGCAGAGGCAGGTGGATTTCTGTGAGTTTGAGACCAACCTGGTCTACAGAGCGAGTGCCAGGACAGCCTCAAAGCCACAGAGAAACCCTGTCTCGAAAAAACAAACAAACAAACAAAGAATTCTTCTTGTTTGTTTGCATGAAAATAAAAAGTAAACAAATACCCCCTTCATGGGTGTTTTTTTTTTTTTGGTGAAGAAAAATTATATAACAATGCTTTTAGTAGGATTAGTAGTAAGTGCAGTGGCATTAAAAACTAATATTTTAGTCTGAAACCATGGTTAATCAATACTATCTTCTAAGTCACCTGCCATTGGGTTCTGTTTCACATATTCAACTTCTATCCATATGCACTTACATCCTTTACCTAATTGCAATGGAAGTCCATGTTCATTTTTGTGTGGAATCTGTATGTTTTGTATGTGTTTATATGTATTTGTGTGCATTCATTGTGTTGCGTGCACGTGTGCATGTGAAGGCCAAGGGTTGTCATCAGGTGTCTTCCTTGGTCACTCTTCACCTTAGTTTTTGAGACTGATTCTCTCATTGACATTGGAGGTCATGGGTTTAGCTAGAATGCCTGGCCGTCAGCTCTGAGGATCTGCCTGCCGCCAAGACAACAGCACTGGGGTTGCATAAGTACGCACACTGCCACACCTGTCTTGTTACCTGCCTTCTTGAGGATCCCGTGCCAGGTTTTTATGTTTATGTGGCAACTACTTTACCAACGGAGACTTCTCCTCCGACAATTGCATGTACTATAACAAATTATCTTTGCTAGTAGAGAAGATATAAGTAAAAACAAAAACATTATTTGCTCATAGTCTTTTCCCCTAAGCAACACTCTTGAGGCTACTCTTTCATGCTTAAAAAGTTGTGATCATTTGTATCTGCTGTTTCTCTCTTAGTAGGTGAACTTCACTGGGAATGTATAGTTTCCCAAAATTTTAATACCTACTAATTAGCAAAGGACTCATTGTTCTTTCCCAACTGACAAGCTTTTCTAACATTTGTATGTATCTTCAGCTATGGCAGTGGACAGAACTAGGCTCTTCTCTCCTACATAGTTGGAGGACAGTTGTTCTGGTGATCAGTGTATGTTTCCAAAGGTATCAATTCTTTACCATGGAACCATGCCAGTTGGTATCATTATTAAAACCCTTTAGAAAATATCTTAACGTGGAGCATATATTTCAAATTTCTATTTGTTTGCTTGAGGGGAGTGGCAGGCATGCTATGCCTCCTGTGGAGGTCAGAGGACAACTAATAGGTTTTTCCTTTTGCTATTCCATAGATCAAACTCAGGTTGTTAAGCTTAATGGCAAGCACTCCTACCTGCTGAGACATCTCTTAGCTCCAGTCTGGTTTTAAATTAACATATTGGACAGTAATTTTATGATCATAAATTATTTAATTTAATTTAAAAATAGACTTTTAATGTATTTCAACATGATTCATCTAACCTTGATAAATGGTAAGTTAATTTTTGTACTGTTTTTTTAAACTATGTGTTATGTGTCATCTGAATCTAGAGATGAGTTAATTATGACTGAGATGTTATGATTTCTGAGTGCTTTTAGCAAGAATGGAGATAGTACTTAGTCTGATGGCTGATGGTTTGGGTGTCTTCCTTTCACATAGTAGCTGAGAAAGTGGATAGTCAAGTGCTCAATTTTCTGTACTGACTTTGTGGCAAATCATCATGATTGTTGTGTATTCTGTAGCTTTTGAGCAGCATGCTCTTCTGATGTCTTGGAATAGTTTTCACCACTGAGAAACAAGTGAGTTTTGCTTATATTTAAGATAGCAATGCAAGAGAACCAGAAATTTAAAAATGCCAGTATGAAACATAGCTGAATGTAGAGTGGATGGCTCTGGGATGTCTGAGCTACTGGAATACAGCTGAATATGTATGCAGTGGATGTCTCTGGGGTGTGTGAGCTACTGAAACATAGCTGAATAGCTTTGGGATGTGTGATCTTTGTTGCTCATGGTTTTTGAAGTATGATCATTCCACAAATATTGTGTACTAAGTATTAGCATAAGTAATGTGGTTAGACTTAAGAACCTGTGCTAAGATCTGTTTCTCATTGATAGGAATCATCTGGCTACTCCATGAGTATTCAGGTACTGGGTTGCTAGGCCTGGTTGGTGTACGAAACACACTGTTGGATATATTGGTTTGTTTGATGGTGGGGCATTGTGTAGGGCTTTTCTCTGCTTGTTAAGACTCTTCTCTGCTCTTTTCTTACTGAAATTTTTACTGGGAATGAATAGGGTAGTTCAGAAATGAATTGAAAATTATATTGTTGGTTATTGCATCATCATTTATTTAGAAAATTTCACCATTTATCTGTGTGAAAATTACTTGATTTGATGAGTTTTCATTTTTCTTTTAGGCTCAGTTTATGAACCTCTTAAAAGCATTAATCTTCCAAGACCTGATAATGAAACTCTATGGGATAAATTGGATCATTATTACAGAATTGGTAAGCACCACCTGAGGAATCATAGTAGCTATGACTAGTACTCACTATTCTATAATTATATGTCATATATTATGTTGAGATATTATTCTACAATTTGAAGATGGGGTAGTTTCACTGCTAAAGTAGCTATATATTCCAGTATTTACCTTTGCACTGTGAGGACCAGTTCTTTACCAGGAGAAAGATAACCAATATTCTGGGGAAGATTTGTTTAGTCTGAGAAAACAGTACTGAGTATAGTGGCCCAACCCAAGCTCAGCATCCAGGAGGTGGAGATAGGAGTATTATGAATTTCAAACTAGTTATATAGTAGGACTGTGTCTTAAGAAAATATAAACAAACAACAGCAAAAACAAGGAAGTGTTAATGTCAGAGCTGGAGAAAGGCAGTTGTCTAGAAGTAGAATGGAAAACTTTCTTTCAAGCACAACATGGCTGGTGCACTCTTGAACTTATAAAGATCTGTGTAAGATTGAGCCTAATAACAATGGGTCATGGAGTGGAGGGGCCTTATGGGATTTACACTTGGTTGATAGGGAAGGGAAGGACGTTTTCTGTAGTCATATATTCAGTGGTAAGGTGCCGAGGCTCCTGTAAGCAAATCTTTACTCTTGTAAGCAACCCTTTGGATCACCAAAGGAATGACGGAGGCATTAAGTAAGAGGAGGCTAGTTGGGAAAAGGTAATGGTGAGTATGATCACCTCAAAAATGTCATAAGGAACCCATTATATGTAACTAATGTATGCTGTTAACATTCTTTAAGTGAAAAGAGATAGAAAAAGAAAAAAAGGTGTTATATCTTAATGCAGATTACATTGATTGAGTATATTTTGGGGAAAGCAGTGTTATTTATACAGAACATTGTTTAGACAAAAATAAAGTTTCCTGTAGATAATATAAAATTGTCCTGTGGGGTTTCTGTTTTCCTAGCTTGGAACTCCGTCAAACAGAGGAAAGCACTGATTTCAGGCCCTTGCTGTGTCCACAGCTGTTTTTGCTATATAAAAATGAGATTTTACTTGGGGAATTTAAAAAGATCCCTAACCTGTACAGTTCAGTAAATAATAACACTTTGGTAAACACAAGTCATCAGTGAAATACAGGCCTCTGGCCTATTTTGTGGTCTTCCTTCTTCTTCCCTAAATTGTGGGTTATTTAGCTTCCATAATCCAGAACTGGTGTTATGACTTAGGAAGTCAATGATATGTATTGTACATTTGCTTTAAGTTTTCTTACTTAACTGAGTTTGACAAAAATATTATAGTCATATTTTTTTGGTTAATCTTTTTTGGTTAATCTTTTCTCCCTTGTGTCTGATGTTATTTTAATAAGATTTGCATCATTTATTAACATCAGCCAGCATAATTACAAGCTTTTAATGCTCTAATTAGTTGAGTGTTTTCTTCAAAACTATAAAGACACCTTCCTGCAGTGTGGATTTCCACTTGGCCAGTGTGACATGAAATGATGTAACATCTTTGAAAATTTTATGCTATAGCTAATTTAGAAACAACAAAATTTTCAAAAAAGAATGAAGAAACCAAGGTCTGATTGTACACTCATTCTTTGTCATCACCTTTTTTTTTTTTTTTTTTTCTTGTAGTCAAGTCAACAATGCTGATGTATCAAAGTCCAACTACAGGTCTCTTTCCTACTAAAACATGTGGTGGAGATCAGAAGTCCAAAGTCCATGAGAGCCTGTACTGTGCTGCAGGTGCCTGGGCTTTGGCTCTAGCATACAGGTGAGCTGTGTTTATTCTCCTAGTAGCTCTAACTTAACTAGTTTTATAGAACTAAAAGATTAAAAGGGAATTATAAAGCATATTTTGGAGATCATTTGATAAATTTGAGTATAGACTATGTATTATATAATACAATATCAACTCTTAAGTGTCTTGAGTGTAATTAATGGTGTTCATGGTTATGTAATGGCTTTTTTTTCTAGAGATACTTCTAATGTTTGTAGCTTTCAAATAGTAAAGAAAAATTATACTTAGATATGAAATACAAGATAAAGTAACGTTAATAGCTGGTGAATCTAGGCAAAGACTAAGTGGTTTACTTATTGTAGTATTCTTTTAACTTTTTTGCACATTTGAAGGTTTTGAAACAGCACAGAAGCAGGAAAATTGTTTTAAAAGAGTATATTCAATAGAGAGACTAAAGTCAGACAGCATCTTTTCCCAAAGACCTCAGAAGAGAATTCGGTCTTTCTTTGCTGGGCACATTATCCATGCAGAATTGGTGGGTGATGCCACCCACTAATCTGCCTGCTATCAGGGAAGAAACAGTATGAACAAATGCATGATATGCTTACTTTACTGGCTACATTAAATAAGATGTGCCAGTAGTGAAGGATTTACTTTTCTGACATTTAGCCCCCTGTGATATATGAGAGCTACAGAAACAGACTTTAGTATCCTGCATTTAAGGAGGCATCGATAGTTTTTATACAGTGGCAGTGATCTGCAGATATTTAAGTGAGCCAATGAGCATTCCATTCTGATTTGTTTTAGCAGTGGTTACTTTTTCTACTTTTTAAGGTCATTCATAATTGGAAGACTTTTTTATTTTATTTTATTGCCCAGAAAGAACATCTTAATCTAGTTTAATGATTAGATTTTAGCAATTTTTTTTAAGCAAGAGAAGTAAAATATGATCCATTGATTTTTAAACTAATACTTGAGAATCTGAAACTTGATGCCAGGAATATACCATATGTGTTATTTGGGTACATGTTTAGGGGAGGGCCTCTTTAAGGACTAATGTGCTTCCTGGGGCACAGCAAAGAATGCTTATGCCTATCTTAATTGCTGCTTCTTTGAATTCAACTGGGAATTATATATCATAACGAGATATCATGTCTGCAATTTCTAACAGTGAATTTAAAATAATTGTGGTTGAATTTTTTTCTAATGTAGAACTAAGCTTTCAGTTTTAGCTAGATCATTTAAAAAAATTCCCTTTTAAAAAGAATTGACTCACTCCTGTAAATCAAGGAAAAACTGCACAAGTTTTACCATAAGGGTTTTTTTTTTTTTAAAATTGCATTTCTACATTTGCTGAGAAGATGTAACTTCACTAGAAGAATTAGTAGATGCCACCAGAACATTGGATTAGTCAGTAGCTAAATACTTAATTATCAAAAGCTCTACTCCCTTTTCAAATGCAATTCCAATTTGTTTCCTGAGTTATCTCTCTCACCCAGGCGCATTGATGATGACAAGGGAAGGACCCATGAGCTGGAGCACTCTGCTATAAAATGTATGAGAGGAATTCTCTACTGCTATATGCGTCAGGCTGATAAGGTAAAGCATGAGGACTGAAATTCTCATATCGTTTATGGGATTAATTTAACCAGTACTGCAGTAGCATCTTCTGAAGAACACACTTTGAAAAAGATAAAGCCACGTCCTAGGACAGTCCATTGAGTTTAACTCAGCCTCTCCCTTCCCAACCCAAGCCTTTGACATCCTGAAACTGAGGTAGCACCTTCAGTGAGAGATGATTGAAAATTATTGTTTAGACTTGAATTTGTATTCATGATTTGTTTTGTTTTCTATGATAAAGATCCAGATTCTCAGGAAGCTATCAAATATGAATAGTTCTAAACATCTTATTATTTAAAGAACATCCATGTCAAAATTCATTTTGGATGTGTGAATTGCTGTGGCAAAGGGAATTTTAAAAGTATAATGTCTTATTCATTTGCATGCAAAGAGGCCTGGGATTACAGCTTTATAAAGCAAATAGAACTTTATGGTATTATATGGGAATGAAAGAAACAATACACCTAGCATGGTTTGTCTAAACTGTAAAGTTCTAGACAAATATAGTACACTGTTCCCTTTATTAACCTACTATGTTGAATCCCTAACTCCTAAGAACATGTCCACATGTATCCTTCAGTATGTTGTGGGTTCCTAAGATGACATCAGTTGTAATAGGATGTATCAAGGCCATAGTTTATGGTTCATTACAGCAAAAGGGCATAGAACATGACTGAAGCAAGAGGCACCTGGTAGTGTGTAGGAAACAAGGCACCAGCTTCTCAGGGCAGCACATGTTAGCTGCTGCATCTTTTTTTTCTCCCCCTCAAGATTTTTATTACTGTAGGTACCCTCTGTCTAACACCCAAATTCCAGACTCCCAAGAGAATACATAGTGTAGCCTAAATCACATCAATTTTAGACATGCAAGCCACTCTTAGGAGAGAATAATGGAGCCCTTCCAAAATACACTTTACCTTACAAGGGCCAACGGTGACACTTGTAAACACTCTTTTCTGAGGTTGTTAGGTGCTGGGTTACTGTGCCAACTCTTTTCAGGACAGTCATCAAGTTTGTGCACTGGCTTCTAATCTTACCAGTTGTGTCATTTTAGATAAGCTGCCTTTCACATGCTTCTGTTTTTTTGTTGTTGTTGTTTTTTTGTCTGTAAAATATGAACCCAGGCTGGGCGTTGGTGGCACACGCCTTTAATCCCAGCACTCGGGAGGCAGAGGCAGGCAGATCTCTGTGAGTTCGAGGAAAGCCTGGTCTCCAGAGTGAATGCCAGGATAGGCTCCAAAGAGAGAAACCCTGTCTCAAAAAACCATATATATATATATATATATATATATACATATATATATATGAATGAAGTAGAGTATAAAAAGTACTTGGGGTAATGGTACTCCAAGTGTCAGTGCTTCCCCTCTGCTGTTAGACTGCACCCTTCAGGTGTGTTTCCAGCTTCTTCACTTGAGCAAAGATGCACAGCAGTGATCTCTTTGTGCTTTGTATGTCATGATCATATGAATATATTGTTTTAACTTGTACTTGAAAAAATTTTCAAATGTGATAGCAGATCTTTCTGAGATCTATCCTTGAAGTTACAACTTTAAAAATATTATATTTTGCCAATATAATGCGGCAGCATCATTGACAGAGAAAGAGTGCACTTAATACCAGCTGAAAGGAACGCATCCAACAAAGTCATCTCTTGTCTACCAAGATCTGATTTTGCAATAATCATTGCAAAGATTGTTCGGATGCTAAAAGAAAAGTCATATGTTGTACTTTGGCTTGCTGGATTAAATTTATATGGCATGCATTAATTTGATGTAATTATGGTTAAATTTTTTAAGTGTGATAATACTGTTCACTTCCCAAGTATCCCTTCATGAATGCTGAGTATCTTTATAAGGTCAGTGTTTCTCTTTAGGAAGTATTGTAAGAGCCATTTATTTCATGTGCTTGCTAAACAAGATGACAGATATTCCCCTCTCCCTGTGGCATGATTAGACATTGGGTAGTGACCCTTTCTAAATATTACTCACTTTTACCAAGTAGTTGCCACAGTTATGTTTTCTTTTAAGTAGAGATTGAGTTTAATTTAAACTATTTGAAATCCCTCAAATTATAAAGATTAACATTGCTTTCCATAGGCATAATTAATGTAGATCATTAAAATGAATGGTGAGTTGGATCATTTTTAATTTTTATCTTGCTAAAATTAATTCCCTGCAGGAGACATAAACAATGCCCACACCTCTTTCTAGAGTGCTAGTGACAACCTGAACTACTGCACTGAAGTTTACTCTGGAGAATCAGTGGGTTTATTAGGATGATTTATAATGAATGGGTGAGGGGTTATGGGCAGGAGTATACGTGGTCTTAAAGCAGCTACACTGGAAGGTCTGCACCCAGAGTGCATGGTGACCTGCCCATGGCTGTATAGATGGAACCCCTCCCTAGTTCTCCCTTGCCTCTGTATTCTAGCTCTTTTCTGGTGGTGATCCCATCACCCCTTGTACCTATTCCAGTGATGGGCTGTCAACAGTCAGCAAGTCCAGCCATGATGATCTTTTGTAATCTGGCACAGCTAAATTCACGAAGATGGTGGCAGATGATGACTCAGAGAATAGTCCTATACAGCATTGTCCATACCACATATAGATCAGGGTTTCAAGTATTTTTATTGTCATAAGCTTTCTTGACTCCTGTATATTTTTGCAGTGGGGAAGTAGAATTTATTACTGTAATTCACATGGAGTGTGGGAGGCTGATTGAGAGATTGGATGCTATCTCTAGATTAATGTTTACCATTTTTGTATGAACTCTTGCTGGAAGATGTGAACATACATCTACTCTCCAGAAAGAACATAAACAACAGAACAAAGTAGAGTTTTACCAAATCCAACTTGGCAAACCTATGAGTTTCTTATGCTTGCTTACATGGATGAAGGGTTACTTATACAGCATAGATGACTCAAAGCAGCCATACCACTAAAGAAAATGTCACCTTAGCATGTGTGACCACTTCCCCATGGCAGCAGAGCTGGAGTCTCCTCTTCAGTTAACCTTCCACACTATACATACTCGACCATCAGCCTGGGCCACAAACCACAGATAGGTCACACTTCTAAACAGCTGTGAAGGAGATATAGGATGGAGAGTCAGAGATTTCAGCTGAGGGTTGATTAACCTCCTCCTTAGAGGGAAAATCAACGGAATGCATCTTTTGAATCTTTTTTTTTTCTTTTTTGCTTGTTTGTTTTGTGACAAGGACTCTTTACAGCCCTAGTTGTCTTAGAACTCACTATGTAGTCTGGGATGGCCTTGAACTCACAGAGATCTGCCTGCTTCTGCCACTCAAGTGCATTACCGTGCTCAGAAACAGGCTGGATCTTAAGGATCTATTTCAGACAGCTACAGCAGCTCTGATGAAGTGAGTTGTTTTAGTTTTATATATGTTTCTGTGATTAAAATATCCTGACAAAAAGCCATTTTTGAGGAAAAAAAAAAGGTTTATCTGGCTGTCAATTCCAATTATAGTCCATCATTTTGGGAATATCAAGGCAGGAAGTCTCGCAACAAGTCACATCCCACCTATAGTCAAGAGCATAAAGGATAAGCACATACTTGCCTGCCTCTCCTGTGCAGCTAGCT